GTTTGATGGATTTTGACAATTGTATACACTGTGTAGCCACTGTGTCAACAAGATCCAGAACATCTCCGTCAGCCCAGAAAGTCCCTGTGTCCTTGTCATCAGTCTCATCCCCCAGGGGCAACGCTTTCTGGCTTCTGTCTCTAGAGATTAATTTTGCCCGTTCTAGAACTTCTGCTGAGTGGAATGTACACTATGCATTCTTTCACTCAGCATAAGGTCTGTGAGATTAATTCATATTGTGCTTGTATAAATACTCTGGTCTGTTCCGTTGCTTGATATTCCATTGTATGAATCTTCTGCGATTCGTTTGTCCATCCTTCCACCGGACAGTCGGGTTGTTTCCAGTCAACGGCCGTTATGGAGCTAGGGTGAATAAGGCTGCTGTGAACGTTCTTGTACAAGTCTTTCTGTGTATATTCTCATTTCTGTTGGGTAAATATCCGGGGGTGGAATTTATGGGTCACAGGGTTGAGATATGTTTAGCTTTATAAGAAACTGCCAGAGAGTTCTCCAAGGTTCTTGTACCATTCTGCATCCCCACCAGCAACGGATGAAAATTGCTGTTGCTGTCCGTCCTTGTAACATTGCGTGTCGTCAGTCTTTTTCATTCTAGTCATTCGGTGGGTATGGAACGGTGTTTCACTGTGGCTTTGTTTGGATATCCCTGATGACTAATGACGTTTAATGGGCTTGCTGGACATCTGGACATTTTCTTCTTTGTGGTGTTTAGTGTTTTACTCATTTTTATTGGGTTATATACTTATTGTTGACTTATAGGATTTCTTTATACAGTCAAGATATGAGTCTCTTGTCAGATATATATGGTGAATATTTTTTCCCAATCTGTAGCTTGTGTATTCATTTTCTTAACAGTGTCTGTCTTTGATGAGCAGAAATTTTAAATTTTTATGAAGCCCAATTTAGCAATTTTTGTGAATGGCTCGTGCTTGTGTCCTATCCAAGAAATCTTTGCCTACCCCATGGCAAAGATATTCTCCTCAATTTTCTTCTAGAAACTCTATATTCGGGGCTTTACATTTATTTCTATGATCCATCTCATATGTTTATACTTTTGTGAATGAAGCAAGATGGAGTCAGAGTTCGTTTTTTCCTGTTTGAATGTTCAGTTGTTCAAATACCATTTTAAAAAGACTTTCCTTTACCCATCGAAGTGACTTGATGTCTTGGTCAAAAGTTGATTTGTCACATGTATGTGGGTCTATTTCTGGGCTCTGTACTCTGTTTTGTTGGTATATCTGTCTGTCCTTACACCAGTGTCACATGTATTACTTACAGTAGCTTTATAGTAAGTACTGACATCAAGGAGTCTAAGAATTTTGTTTTTCTTTTTCAAAATTGTTTTGCCTATTCAAGATCCTTTGCATTTTCATATAAATTATAGAATTCATAAGCTTGTCAGTTTATTCAAGAAAGCCTGCTGGGATTTTGGTAGGGATCGCATTAATCTGTAAATCACAGCCATCTTAACAATATTGAGTCTTCAGATCCATGAATGTGGTATATCTCTCCATTTGTTTATTTTTCTTAGCAATGTTTTGTCATTTTTGGCATAGCAATCTTGCACATCTTTTGATAGATTTATTCCTAGGTATGTTATGTTTTAAAGGCATTGTGAATGCCATAGACAATATTATAATTGTTCACTGCTTGACAGAGTAGGATGACGTGGCACATGTACTAAGAACAGATCACCAGGGCCAGAGGGCCAAGGGCAGAGCAGGACGGGAAGGCCTGTGAGGTGGCGGCTACAGTTACATGGGGGCGGGATGATTGGGCTTGGGGAAGAGCAGCAGGGCGGTGTGTGGCGTTGAGGAGAGATCACACCCAGGGAAGAGCCAACAGGATTGTCTGAGGGATTGATGTCAGGTGTGAAAGCAAGAGGTCAAGGATGTGCAAGGTTGTATCGTGACCAGCTGGAAAGGTGGAGTTGCCATTAGCTGAGGTGCTTTTTGGAAAACCAGCCAGAGATGTGGACTAGTCAGTTGTATGTACGAGGCCCGAGTTTGAGGGCAAGGTCGTGGCTGGGAAACACACCTGGGCGCTGTCCATGTGCAGCCTGGATGAGCTCAGGAGGCTGTGGACAGAGAAGGAAAGAGGCCCAAGGCCTGAGCCCTAGGGACACCCTCGAGGGATCAGGGAGGAGAGGCGGAGTCAGCATAGGACGGGCCTGGGAGGAGGGGCCGAGCTGGAGGTGAGGACAGGAGGCGGTTCAAGGAGGAAAGGGCGGTCAGCCGAGTCATGACGCTGACAGCAGGAGTCAGAGTCCTCAGAATTGACCGTTGGATTCAGCAACGTGGAGGCCTCGTGGCGATTTCGACAAGACACTCTTGTCGGTGTGTTGGAACGTTGGCCTGACTGTCTGCGATTCGAGAGGAAGGGGAGGAGGACTGGGGCAACTCAGCGAGGCAGGTTTCCAAGGGCTTTCCTGCTCAGGTGGCAAAAGGACTTCTTGAGATTCGCTGGGATCGCTGTATCCGTGGAGCCTACATCGCGTGGTGCCACCGCGGGGTCCGCTCTCAGCTTCCTGCGCTTCTGTGTGGGGCAGCTCACAGGACCCCCAGTGGAGTGCGTGCCCCGGGCAGGGATGGAGAGGGCGGTCTCTGCTGTGCTGGGACTTCCTCAGCCTGCCCTGGCGGTGGTGATGTCCCGGTGTCAGAAACCACCTGCTACGTACAGACAGCCCTCTGGTCCCCCCACAACAAGAGCTCGAAGTTTGCTTCAGGTATCAACCTCTGAATAGACCCATTTCCTCAGGCGCTTGACCAAGATTTTCCATTAGCCCAGTGATGCCTGGGCCCACCTGCCGGGGGCATCCCGGTCTGTGTCCTCTGCTGCGCCGTCGATCACAGCCAAGCCGCGACCACAGGAAGAATGACAGTGTGGCTGTCCTGCTCACGTGCGCATTTCCATGGTGCGCCTCTTCCCGTGTGATTAGAAGCAAAAGCAACCATATCACATGACTTGGAAGTCGGCTTGTTCCTAAGCGGTTTTTCCTCGGCCAGAGGAGCGGGGTAGGCTAGAGAGAATTAGCGGGAAAGGAAGGAGCCCAGCTTGTCTGCTGTGCTGACAGCAAGAGGCCTTTAGGCTGTATTTTAGGGACGTCTTATGAGAGCTCCTGCACCCAGGCCTCCTGGGCTCCCAGGGCAGGTGGTCCACATCCTGTGCCACTGTCGTGACAGCCCCTGGCTCAGCCTCCGCTTCCTCCTGTGTCACCCTTGTCTCTGCAGGCCAGCCCTGCTGTGATTGAGTCCTTCTCTGCACGGCCATTCTGTCGGTTCTGTGCATTTAGAATATTTTCTGCAGCTTTCAGTGTGGTTCAAGGCAATCTCTCGGGGGCCCGTTCACCGTCTTTATTAGTGCTTTGCTTACAAATTTGTCTGGGTTTTGAGGGTCTACCCCACCCCGTTTCTCCGATAAGCCCTGTTGTTTATGTTGGGCCATTTGGTAGGAAGTGGGGATGTTCGGGAATATGCGGATCATGTTTAAGCAGAAATCTTGGGCTGTCTCTTTACAAGCGAGGTCACGGAATTTCAGGGGGCAGCACTGTGAGGTTCACCCCAGTGCAGGGTTGGGAAGGCTTCTTTCTGTTGGACCCAGCAGAAAGCAGCCCCCCGTTGGGTGGAAACATCTACCTGCTGTTTCTGTGATTTTGCATACCTGTGTGGCACCTCCTTCCTGGCACTGACACCCCCCCACACACACTGGCAGCTACAGGTTTCAGGGTGCGGACAGTACCAAGGAGGCACCCTGCAGCTCCCTTGCAGACCGGTGGTTGCCAAGGTCTTGGAAATAATCGTGGGAGAAAGATTTAAACTTTGGAAATTTTATAATGTACTGATTTTTTTCTGCATACTGGGAGGAGATTACCGGCATTCCTTTTCTGGGCAAACCCTAGCCCCATGGGACTGAGGTCTTACAGCTTAGTGTGGGGACCCCTGGGGCAGGAGGAAGGCTCCGCTGTGGGGAAGGGTGTGTAGACACACAGGCTAAGCAGAGGTGGGAGGGCCCCACGGGTGTCTGAGGGCGGGGGAAGCTCTTCTTGTTTCCTGTGCAGCCTGAGCCCAAGGACAGACAGTGCAGCTGGAGGGAATTAGGCCTGACTCCCCAGCAATGTGAAAGCTGATGGAGAGGTCAGGGGGGACCAAGGGACTGCCCAGGCCCACAGAATTGAAGCTCATCGGGTTTTTAGAGAGCATCTGCTCAAGCCTTTCCTGTTACACATGTGGCATCCAGAGCCCAGAGAGGGACAACAACTTGCCCAAAGTCACAGAGCAAATGGGAGGCAGAACCAGAACTAGGATGCGGCTCTTCTGAGCCCAAGCCCGGCAGCCCTCTGTGTCCTCTCCAGGTGGTCAGATACTTGCTTCCCGCCGGCCATGGGAACCTGCCACCTCCCACGCCCGTCTAAGGCCTCAACGGCTCTGTGTGTTTTGCTGGGCCCTGCCCTGCCGGTGGTGCTGAGAACACAGAGGTGGACCCGACTGGGTTCATGCCCACAGCAGCTCCAAGGGACTGGGAACGGGGGTCCAGCAATAAATTCTATCACACGGCTGGAGGAATAAACAATGAACAAACAACTGTGCGCACATTCCAGAACCAAAATGAGGGAGCGATGGATTCTACCCAGGGATGGGGGTGATCAGGAAGGCCTCCCAGCAGCAGGGGCAAGGAAGCTGGCATTAGAAGATTGGTAGGAAATTCCAGACAGAGCAAATGACAATGACATAATCAAAGCACAGACTAAGACTAAAAATAAGCACCAGAACTTCACACATTTATCCAGGGTGTGTTTTGAGCGGGGACTGCACTAAGTGTTTTGTGTGTTTAACCATTTAATCCTCCCTCCAACCAGCTGTTCTCATTGTCCCCGTTTCTCCAACAAGCAGCCGGTTCTGGCATGTGGGGGCGCAGCGGGCAGGGTATTGTGGTGGAAAGTACAAGAGGATGCCCTGATCATGCCCACCCTGCATTCCACGCAGGTGCAGAAATTCCACGGAGACCTGCTGCAGCACATGGAGAAGAACACCAAGCTGGACATGCAGTTCATCAAGGTAAGTCTGGCCTCCTTCCCTTAGGCCCTGGCCAGGCCCGGGCAGGACCAGCTCTCCCCATTTGACAGATGGGCACACAGAGGCCAGTGCTGAGCAGTAACTGGCTGCAAGTTATGCATGTTCCCAGCTGAGTCCCCTGTCCCCATCCAGGGCTCTGACCCCTGGAGTGGGTGTCCTGAGCTCTCTGCTGTGGGGGGATTCTCCCCCCCGCTCCACCCTACCCCAGGACAGTCGCCAGCACTATGAGATCGAGTACCACCACCGAGCCGCCAACCTGGAGAAGTGCATGTCTGAGTTGTGGCGCATGGAGCGCAAGAGGGACAAGAACGCTCGGGAGATGAAGGTATAGGGCTGGGGGCGGAGTGGGGGTGCCGTATGTCTCAGGGCAAGACTGGGCTCTGGGGAACCCCAAATTCCCCCGAGAACCCCCACCCGGCACCAGCCCAGCTGTGGTGAGCACAGCTGGAGAGGCCAGCCGGGCCCTGGTGGGGTGGCTGTTGCCAGCTGTCAAGGCCACCCCCAGCACCGCTCCTTGCTCTGTGGCTTCCTGGCCTTGCCCAGGGTCCCCAGGCCTCTCCTACAGCTCAGGACCACCCGCCCCCTACTTCACTGAGGAGACTGAGCCGTCAGTCCTGCTGCTCCTGAACATGGTGGCAAAGGTGCCATCACCAGCTGCCCCGCCACCCACCCCTCCCTCCTGCCAGGCAGAGCTATCCCACCCAGCCAAGGCCAGTCCCTCCCCTCGAGACCAGGTCCCCATGCTGACTTCTGTCGCCAAAACCCGAACCCATGGATTCACCCTCTGGCTCCTTTCCTTTAAGTAAGCTCATGTCTCCCTCTTCAGAACCTTCCCTCCCAAACAGGGGTTACTAATCTACGCATTCACCTTTTCGCTAAACCGGCCTCCCTGGCCCCACCTCTGTGCTCAGGCCTGTGTGCTGGGTGCCAGGGACAGAACGATGGCTCAGACACCAGCTTTGCCTGTGAGAAGTGCCCAGGCCAGGGGGACGCAGGGCCCAGGCTCATAAGGATGTGGGTGCCCATAGGGGTGCAGGCTCGGCAGCTGGGACAGGCGGTGCTCAGGGCAGGGCTCCGGGAGGAGGCGTGTCAGGAAAGATGTGGTGGGGGTTGAACAGCTGGCACCTGTGGGGGTGGGACGAGGCCCCCTGCCAGAGCCCTGTTTCCCCCAGGAGAGCGTGAACCGGCTGCACGCGCAGATGCAGGCCTTCGTGTCTGAGAGCCAGCGGGCGGCTGAACTGGAGGAGAAGCGGCGCTATCGCTTCCTGGCTGAGAAGCACCTGCTGCTCTCCAACACCTTCCTGCAGTTCTTCGGCCGGGTGAGCTGGGGCTGGGGGCAGCAAGCGGGGCCCTTCTGGGGGCCGCGCCCTTCCCTAGCTGGCTGTACACAGGGCTTTCCCTCCCTCTTCCCTCTTCCCTTCCTTCCTTTCTCTCTGTAGAAATTTATTTTATTTCACTCTCTCCATCCATTTCTTTGTTTATTCACTCTTTTGTTTGTATCGCTGCATACACTCATTTATTCATTCATGATTTTGTTCATTTTTTGCATGCCTTCGCTGATTTATGCATTTATTCATTGATGTATGGACCTTTTTTATTCCTGCATGTATATTCTCACTATTCACAAATTCAGTAATTGAAAGGTTTATTCAGTTATTGTCTATTAACTTTATCATATTACTGAAATCCTCCATACTCTTGTTTTGTTCTGTTTGCTAGACCAGTCAGATGCTCTCGTTTCTCATTGGATTTCTAATGGATTTTGCTTTCTGAATTTAGCTGCCATGTTGTTTGGTGCTTTGGGGTTTATGACTATTATACCTTCTCTGTAAATATTGTCATTTATGTACTTAATGTGTCTTTTAATCAAGTTTGATGCTTTTAATTCCACTTTGCCTGGTATTAATATTGCTCTTCCTACTTTCTCTTCACTTTGCTTATCTCTGCATGTTAAGTATGATTTTTGTTACTAACATATAGCTAAGTTTCAGGTTTTGACCAATCTGACTGTCTATGCCTTCTACTAGAGGAGGAATCCAGCCCATGCACATTTAACGTAATATACCTGGGTTTTATTCCTTCTAGATAACTTGAGCTAGCTGCCTTTATGTTGTCATTTCCTCTTTTTCTCCCATTCTCATGCTTGTCAGTTTGGTTGAGTTGCTATGCATTCCTCCTTTCCCTTATTAATTTGGAAATTCTACTACTTTCTCTCCACTTGTGGTAACCTCACTTTGTGACCCTCATAATCACACACATATCCATCTATTAACTTTCCAAAAAAATGCCAACTCCACCTGGCTACACACACACACACACACACACACGCACACGCGCGTGCGCACACACACACACACACACACAGCTCAGTCTGTTGCTCCCCCCAGCCCCTAGGATGAGACCTTGAGAAGTATTTTCCTGCCCTCCCTATTAGTCTGAGATGAGGCCTTTGCAAACCTTTTACTCCTCCCTCATCCTCCCATCTCCCCCCTTGATTTTACCAATAGTTCCAGACTCTCACTCCTTTGCAGTATGGCCCTTGTATTTCAAGCA